ACGTACGTAGTACGTACGTACGTACGTACGTAGTACGTACGTACGTAGTACGTACGTAGTAGTAGTAGTAGTAGTAGTAGTAGTAGAGTAGAGAGAGAGAGAGAGAGAGAGAGAGAGAGAGAGAGAGAGAGTCCTTGTCACCATGGTTATGGATGATATGAACTTGGGTGTCGGTGTTTGTGTGTGAGGATAGTTGTATTAGCTAAGCGCAACTCTGAATCTTGATAAACTTGGTACTTCAGAGGTTGGAATGTTTTTTTTTCTTTTAATGAAGTCTCTCCCATAAGTACCTAATGACTTTTCTACAGTGTTGCATGGGTGGTATTTGTTCTGGGTCAGATTGTCTAGTATGTGAAGCTAAAGCATATATTGTAACATGCATTGGATGTGAGAGCAAATTTTGCAATAAATATTGCCAAATAACTCGTGATAGTTTGAAATTTCAAAATGCATTTAGGGCATATTTGAAAATATTTTGAAGTTTTTGTGGAGCTATATCGAGAAACACTTATGGGACTTTTCTTTTGATTGGGAATCCAAGGAGGAGAGTCTCCTTGGGCCTACACAATAAAGAACATTTCAAAATCATAACCATATTGTGGGCCAAAATAAGGACATATACTTCAATGCTTAAGTCACCTAACTTTTGTAGAACTCCAGAAATAAGGACATATACTTCAATGCTTTCATAACTTTCAGAGTCTTAAGTCACCTAACTTTTGAGTTCCATATCTGACCACTTAAAATAGTGATGATCTAGGTTGTGGAGGTCATCATCGAAATGTAAAATCTAGAAACCTTAAGATACATATGTCTGGGTTTTAGGCGAAGTAATAAATGTACATTATGCTCCTATGAGTGCACACAATAGGTTGCTTTTCTTTCTCCTTCCATGGTCAGCAATAGTGCGTGCGGTTTGTAGAGAGCCGAGGGTCTAAACAATCAAAATAAAGCACACCTTCAAATAGTGTCGAGAAATGTAGTTTCAATACTGGAATTCTTTGTGATAGCCTTAAAATAGACTTTTATCTTTAATTATAAAATTTAAAACTCCAAAAAATAGTTCAGATTTAGCAGATCTATGAAAACTTGAAAATCTTGAAAATTGACGGTCCAAAAATACTTTACAAGATGCAGTATTTCTAAAATATGAAATCCATTTTTTTCTCATGTTCATACATCTTGTTGTTGATATGATCAATTTGAGGATATTTGGACATAAAAACATCATCTTCTAGTAAATTTTTTGAGGTGGGTCTTATTTGATTATTTAGAGCCTCGACTTTATATCAATTTTTTTCAATAAATAATAGGAAAGAGAAGGAACTATGAACATTCAATGAACCTGCATTTTTTTCCAAGTTGAACGAGCAACTTGATAATGAAAGTGCTGCAACTTCATAAACGATAAAGTCTTTGTTTTTTTTCCAATTTGACCTGGAAATGTTAGGTCTTCAGCTAGGGAAGACTTCAGTTCTTTTAATTATTAAAATAATTAATATATATATAATAATATGTATAAATAGATCCTTCAACTGAAGAATATAATTTAAAATTAGAAATCTTGTTATTTGAAGATTCAGTCCATGATCTTTAAGTTATAAAATATCCCCCATTTATCATTCCTGTTCAGTGTACCCATTGGATATTGAAGTTGTAAACATCCAACATTTTATATTTAAAACTAGGGTTTTGAAGTTTGAAGATGAAAGAACCTCGAAAGTTAAAAGCAAAATATTTTGATAGCATTGCACCCTATCCTAAGAAGCAAAGCATCACCTCAAAACTCACCAAAATCGTAGCTTTGGCATAAGAAAATCTTCAAATCAGTCATGTCGGCCCTAAAAATAATATATATTGTAATACATTATCCGGACCATTCAATTTGTCTTAAAATTAAGTGGTCACAGATCTGCAAAATCTGGATTTTTTTTTAGCTACAAATTTCATAGTCGGTGTTGGAACTCGATTTTAAGGCCATCATGGATATTTCTTATGCCCAAAGTACTTTATGGATAAAGATTCTAGGTGAGGCTTTACTCTATTTTCATAGAGCATAGGCATTATAAAAACTGCATCCAAATAAAAAATACTGAGCAAAACCTTTACTTATTCCAAGACCTAGGAGGCCCTTCATGACCACCATGCCTGCAACAGACTTGGAGAAGAAGACGATAATCACAACAAGCTCCACTGAGATCATAAAAATGATCAAGTAAATAATCCATAGTGGTGCCAAGGCATAAGTTTGCTCAGATTTAATTGGAAGCCTCATCGCCAAGGAAAAGGCAGAGGCCATGGCTATGGCCAAGGGGCCTATGGCTTTGTAGGTTGGCTTTATGTCCACTGGAGCATGCACTCGGTTGCAAATTCAGGTGAAAATGGCCATCATTATGGTGACGGTTGGACGAAGCTGTTGAACCCATTCGTTTTGGGGCTCGAATTCATCATAGATGGTTGTGTATTGTACTCATTGTGTGGAGGATGAGGGGTGGTGGCAGTGCGGTATGACATGTCCGGTGGTCTGCTTTCAGATTTGCAATTTCCTATCGTGGGATCATTCTCCCCATATTCGAATGATACCTTTGGTTTGAGTGATTAGGCCAAAAAGGGGCGGGGGATTATCTTATGCCCCAAAAGTTAAAGTGCTGGGGGAGAATAAGATAGCCTTCCTCTTGCATGACAATGAGGATGCTATGGTGGTATTAGCAACTGCTTTGTCAGAATCCGGGGTAAGATTTTATCTTTAGACACCCTCATCGCATTTTTATTACTTACGGAAGGAGAGTCTTTGGATTCGATTGTCAGGGATTCCACTCCATGCTTGGACGTTGGATACTTGTCGTAAGTTGGCAAACTGCTGTGGGGAATTTTGTGATATTGATAAGGATTCCCTCGTGGGGGTTGATTTGAGGTTTGTGTGTATCTGTATATGGAAGTGAAGTGAGGCTTCCATTCCCAAAATGGTTAGACTTTTTGTGGGCCAAGAATCTTTCTCCTTAAAGATTTCTGTAGAGAAGAAGGAGGTCTATCAGCATCAGCCAGTGACTAAGGCTGCTAGGGGCCCTCTCTGTGACAATGGCGGTCTGATCGATCTAATAAGGAGGTTCATGACAAATCTTTTCTGATGAGTGCTAACCGAATTTTTTCGAGAAGAAAGAATCAAAGCAATTTTTCGGGTAAAGAAGACAAATTTTCAAAATTTGAAAATAACCAAGCAGTGGATTCCCATGGGATGTTTCACGGAATGCTCGGCAACTTTAGCGTCACCCATTTCAGATAAAGATGAGGGTCTACGCGATCATGTAGACCGGCTAGGCTCACCTATCACTTTTTCAAAGGGCGGGATGGATGGCGGCGTATCTCTGCATTGATTTGAGGCTCCATTCCCGGGGAAGGATTTGGAAGCCGTGGTGGCTTCCCCGGCTTTTTCGCTGATGCATTGGGTATTGGGAATACTGTTTCCTCCTTCCCCGTATTTCTTCCCAGTTGAAGGCCTGAAGTCGGTGGCTCTTGACAGCAAAACCAACAATTTCAGATGGTTTTTTTGTTTTGCTGCTCTGGTTGTTGCAGGTCACAGGCATTGTTCGTCGCTGGCTCTCCATCTGTTGTTGCTTTCGGTGGCCAATATGTATCCCCTTTTCCATCATCATGCTGTCAGAAAGCCTCACTCTTCACCTAGGCATGCCTTTGATCCCTTGGCGGTTGACCCTCTGGCTTTAGTGGTGCTTGACGAGGGTGATGCGTACTTGGATTTAGGGAAGGGAAATTTGTTCCTGAGCCAATGGAACATAGTGTTCAAATTGATATCTTAGATGGGCCTTTGGCTCAAAACCTCGTTCTTGCGTTGGTCGAAGTAGCTTTCTCCACCCCCCTCAATGTTTTACCGTAAGAGGATAGGCCTCTGTTGCTTCATATGATTGCTGCAAACTCTGTGGTCAAAACCCGTAACTCTACTGCTCCAAAAGTAGAGAATGTACTGACAAATGGTTTGATTCCAAAGGTGGAGCCTCAGGGTAACACAGAGGAGGAAAAGATTTCTTCCACTGTCTCTGATTGTGGAATGGACTTTGATATTCCTCTTGGAGTGGTTTTTAAGGATATTCTTTCAAAGAAGAAGGTTGAGAAAAAAGGGAAGCAAGATGCTAAGATGAATAAGTCTGTTGCTGTGGGTAAGACTCCTAGCAAAGAAGGGGGTAAACTAAAATCCAAAGGTAAAACTCCGGTGAAGAGTACAAGGTCCTCTGCGAGATTGCAAGCCCGGGGAACTCCACATGCTAATTCGGCTGCGAGAGGAATCTTTACCTCTGATGAACAGGTTATAAAGGTGAGCTCTGACCTTTCCTCTTCTTCTCACTCTTTGGATGGGGAAGAGATCTTGGACGAGGTCTTCTTCGGCGCGAGTAGGGATGGTCCAGGTTCTTCCTCTTCTCACCCATTCGCATGATTATTATGTCCTAGAATGTACGACGTTTGGACGACCTCAATTGTAAGAAAGACGACATCTTTTTGGTTTTTCATTTTACGCCTGATATACGTATTTTATAGAAAACTAAACTTCCTAGCCCCACCTTTTCTGGTTTTAGAGAAGTTTGGGGACCTGGGCAAGTAGATTCTTGGGGATTGACTTTGAGGGTGCTTTTGCGGGTTTGTGGATTTTGTGGGATGAAACAGTACTGTAGTCGTTTTGCTTTGATAAAAAAGATAATTTCTTGATGGTTGGTTTTGTGGGGCATGATTTTGATTTTTTGGTGGGGTTTATTGAATGTTTATGGTCCCCAAGGTTTTGCTCAAAAAGAAATCTTTATTAATGATATGTCAGACTTCATTAATAATTTTACCAATCCGATTTGTTTAGGAGGGGATTCTAATTTCATCTGATAGCAATATGAGAGTAGCTATGGTGGACCTATTACGTTTGCTATGCGTCTATTTAATAGATTTATTGAGTCCCATGCCTTGTTAGATTTTTTACATGGACAAATGAGAGCTCTTCAAATTGGACCATGTCTAAACTTGACAGATTTTTGGTTTCAGGAGAGTGGTTTGACTTCTTCCCCCTTACTTCGGTTAAGGCCTTACCCAAACTCTCATATGACCACACTCCTATTTTACTTTGTTCTCAAGTTGTTCTTGTAGGACCTAAACTATGTAGGCTTGAAGTTGGATGGCTTGAGGAGAAGGAGGTAGTTGACATTATTAAAAGTGCTTGGGAGAATACTATTTCCATTGGCTCTTTGGATTTTCAACTCCACAAGAAGCTTTTAAGTGTCAAGCATAAGCTTACTACTTGGTAAAATGATAAGAGGTTTCATATTAAAAGGAAAATTGATGAAGTTCTTAGATGCTTAGAAGAAGTGGATTCGATTATTCAAAATTCAGGAGTGTTGTCCGATGAGTTGGTTATAGAGAAAAGCTCTAAA